CAACTTTCACCCCACTGTTCTCCTTAAAGGGACCCAGGATGGCGTACATCACTAAAAGACAATATTAAAGCTAACAACAACGAATATACAAATACTAAAAGGGATCAAATAGACGTCATGCTACAGTGGCCCACCAGTCCCTTTGGGAAGCCGGCCAGCAAAAAGGGGGTGCATCTACACCTTCCTGTTCCCGGTCACCAATACACAGAGGCACCCTGCCTCCAGTAGAGGAAGGAATATGGCATCAGGAAGTGGTGGATAGAGTAATGGACTAGGGCTCTGAAGAGCTGGGTTCAAATCCCCACTCAGCCAGGGAAGCTCACTGGGGGAGTGGAACTGGTAAAGCCAATCCTTAAATATCTCACTTACTTTGAAAGCCCTCTTAAGGCCTCTTAAGGTCACTACAAAAGTCAGTCCCTAGTTCACTCACGTTTTTGTCTGACTCTAGGGGATGCAACATTCATGTGCCAATTCTTCATTTAGGGTGTCCTGATTTAACATCACACACCCTTCTGAAATCCTCATAAAGGTCCACACTTTCCATGTCCTGGCTCTGTGTTCAGCTATGGTTCTGCCCTTTTGGGGAAACAAAGTGTGCAGGAGATAGCCAAACCTGGAACAACTGGCTGATGGTGGAAATAGATACAGGCTCACCCTTAAAAACCAAATTCATCTGTTCCAAGGCTGTCAGGAAAGTGGGTCAAAGCACCTTCCAAAGTGGTGGGTGTCCAACTTCGCTGGCAACAGGGGAAGAGAAGTTAGTTGGCTGAATAACTCTGTGGTTTAGGTTTGGAGACCACAGCTGCGATACAAGGAGATCTGCAAGCGGGATCTGAAGGCCTTAGGAATAGACCTCAACAGATGGGAAACCTTGACCTCTGAGCGTTCAGCCTGGAGGTAGGCGGTGCATCACGGCCTCTCCCAATTTGAAGAGACCCTTGTCCAGCAGGCCGAGGCAAAGTGGCAGTCCTGAAACCAGCAAAACCAGGGAGCTGGACGAGGCACAGATTGTATTTGTCTTCAGTGTGGAAGGGATTGTCACTCTTGAATTGGCCTTCTCAGCCACACGAGACGCTGTTCTAAGCTCTCCATACAGAGCACGTGGCCATAGACTTTCGAGACCGAAGGATGCCTACAACATCTTAGGTCTGGGTGGGAGTTCAGTTCCCTCCTCCTGGGAGGAGAGCCAGCCTGGGGGGTTGATTCCCTCCTCTGGGCCTCCTGGGAAGAGAGCCAGCCTGGGGGGGTGGCTTTGGGCAAAAGCTGCCCAGCCATGATCCCAGGGCTACCCCCCAGCGGAAAGGAAAGGGGAACCACTTCTGAGCACGCTCTACCTAGAAAAGAGTCTACCTGGAAAGTGTTGCCATAAGTTGGAATTGACTTGACGGCATCCGATTGTGTTATTATTAGAGAGAGGCTGTCAAAGACGCTTGAGCAAGAGATTAAACCAGATTCCCGTATATTCAAACCATATAATTTTATGACTCTAGGGGAATGTGGGTTTGTTTGTTTGTTTTAACCAAATATAAACGATCTCTCTCTACACACGCTTTCTCGAAGGCCTTCCGCCATCTCGCACAGCGATGTCAACGGGGGAGCTTTCTGGGAGCGGAAAGCCGCATCCTCTGCCACTCAGCTTCGGAGCTCACCACTCCTGCAGTGCAGCATGGGCTTCGGAATGTATTCGGCAGCAACGGGCTTTTATCTGTAATCGTTCAGCAGTCCCACTAAAGGCAAGGTCAGAAGACCGAGATTTGTTTTTCCAACTTTGGTTCTCGCCATTTTGAGGTGGTTTTGTGTATCCCAATCTCGGCATCTCCTTTGGAACAAGACTGTTTTGATTTTTTTTTGGGGGGGGTCTTGTTTTTTTACCACCACCCCCATCCCTAACAGGTGGATCTGGCAGCTGCATCTGAAGGCTTGGCCCCCCATGTGTTCGGCTGGCTGGCGGGGCTTCAGAAAACCCAAGACAGACAGACGAGAGATGGGTGAGTGAGAAGGAATGTCATAACAGGGGCAGCTGAGGTGATGGATTCCAACAACGATTTTCAACAACGCAGACAGAAAATTAGAATTTTTTTTCTCGCACGCAGCAGGGGTCATGTTATCCCAAGCCTCCGTGCTGCGAACGGAGCCAAACGCACGCTGGCAGGAGGCTGTCTTGGCCGCCAGCGGAAAGGCCTCTCTCCGAGGGCGCTTCATGCCAGCTCTTCCGAGCTGACGGGCGGGCTGGCTGGCAGCTGCCACCCTGCAGCGGAAACCAGCCATAGTGTTGACTGACGGGCAGCCATCAGGAATTTGACGTCCATCCGGAGCCAGGAACCCTTGAAAGGTTTGGACAGAGGGTGCGATCGGACAACGAGAAAGGGATCACACTGGAAAACACTGCTTTGTTGAGAGGATGATCCCTGAAACTGACCGTTCCACCCATTTGGGAATGGCTCCGGCAAGCCCCGCACAACAGCCGCCCGGCTTTTTCGGAAACAAAAAGGCTTAGCTTGGCCACGGGCTGAGTTTGGGCTAGATCGCTGTTCCTTTACATCAGTTGGGTCTCCAGATGTGCTGAGACTACAACTCCCAGAGATCCTGGCTGGCACTGCTAGTGGGGAAGGCTTCTGGGAGTTGCAGTCGGAGAACATCTGGGAACATCCCCAGACTGGGAACCGCTGCCTTACGTCATGGGATCCACAGAAAACAGCTCACGCTGGACTGCAGTCCAGAACACAAACGGTTTCCTCTTCTGATGACAGCCAGAGTTCCTGATGGCATGTGAGATGACCTCATGGGGGGCAGGCAACCTGCAACCCTCCAGATGTAGCCATGTGTCCAATTCTACTGAGGACATTTCTCTTATTTGTGTGTGTAGGTGTCTTCCATTTACCTCCGCAGACTAGACATGTGTGACTCGTATTCATATCCCTGGGGGTACGAATGCAAATTACAGCACCACAGGTGCCACAGAAGCCCATTCCCTCCACCAAGAACTGGCTGGTCTATTCACTGGTTGCCACGCAGTGCTTGGGGTCCTTCGCTGTCATTGTCATCATGCCAAGCTGGGAAGGACCCTGGCTGGTGTTTCCCTGCCTCCCCATGCAGCTGACCACTCATCAGCTGAGCAAGTAGATTCCACATCAGAGTGGTCAGCTGCGGGGGGAGGCAGGGAAGTGCCGGCCACGGTTCTTCAGAGCTTGGCACGACGGCAATGACAGTGAAGGACCCCAGCGCTGCGTGGCCACTGGTTAGGGGTTCAGGGGGGAGGGAATGGGCTTCCTTGGCACCTGTGGCCCCACGATTCATATTCGTACCCCCAGGGCTACAGATAAGAATAGCTCAAGTCTACTGCAAGCAACGTGAAATAATCAAGACAACTCCACCCTTGAATGACACCTTTTCCTGAAGCTAAGCATCAAATCAGATGAGAGGCAGGAAAGACATATCCAGTTTCCCAGTGTTTTAACTGGATATTTTTACATTTTTAACTGAAAGCACTTGTGAGCGTCCACTTTGGAATACCCAGTGTGGAAGAGGGAGACATAAACCTCTCCCTCATCCGCCGTTTCCCTGACTAAGGCATCTCGAACAGTCCCCTGTCCACTGGATCAGACAAACTGTTCTACGGTTCTATGATTATACCATTCAAGTACTAACCAGGCTTACCTTCCAAAATTACAAAAAAATTGGTTCTTTCCTAGTTCTTCCTGTAGATCTTGGAGGTAGAACCTGGGAGGTTCACCATGCAAAACACCAGCCGTGCAACTGAGCATTGGTCTCTTCCTAATCATCCTTAGTCATCTCCATCCACATCCTAACCAGGCCAACCCCTGTACAACTTCCAAACACAGACAAGACCAGGCAGATTCAGGGGAGGGGGGGGGGGTTTCAACATTTTTGGTGTACGGTACTTACGTGTCTACAAATTTCCGGCTGAGGTCCGAGATGATGACCGAGGAACCCTTCTGGAAAGGAGGGTCCCGGGTGACCTTGTACCGGATGGCCTGGCAGTCGGCGCACTGCCGGCTCTGAGGGACAGAGCTCATCATGGCCGCGTCGATCTCCAGCAGCTCGTCCAAAGTGTAGATCTGGACGCCGTAGACCTCCTCGTTCACTTTCTTGCGGTCCAGCCTGATGGTCATGGGGACGTCACAGAAGAAGTTCTGAGGCCCGAGAGAGACGTTCCGGCCGCTGACCAATAGGAGCTTGATGTCATTGACGGCCTCTTTCGAATCCCAGTCGGAGGAGACGTACGTCACCCAGATGGTTAGAGACTCGGGAATCACTGGGTACTGAAACTCCAGCTCCAGATAGCAACCCTGGGGTTCAGGGCAAGCAGGGGGGACCGTCTGCTTGATGACGGCCGAATTTGGGCTCCACGTCCGAACATCCGGTTTGCAGGGCTGTTCTACATCAGGGTGACCTTGAATGTGGAAATAAACAACGAGACAGGGTGAGGACAAGTCCAGAGATGTTTCCTACTGCAGGGGTTTTCTACCTTGGGAACATCCCCAGATGTTCTTGGACTACAACTCCCAGAAATTGTGGCCAGCACTGCTTGTGGTGATGGCTTCTGGGAGTTGCAGTCCAAGAACATCTGGGGACCCAAAGTTGGGAGCAATTGCTCTAGGGGATCAAAGTGAAGCATATGTTTCCCAAAAACTCTTATGCTCAGTAACTAAGACGAGGAACCAAGGTCGTTCAATTCCCTTTCACATGAGAAAGATTTCTTCAGAGCAAGGGTGGGCAACCTGCGGCCCTCCAGACATTTTTTTTTGGACTATATCCTCCATCATCCCTTATCAAGGAGTACGGTGGCTACAGTGGGTCGGATTTGTGGGCCCCCCCAGACACGGAGTGGAGGAGGGTGGTCCCCATACCAACCTGAGTGCAATAAGAGACCACCTGGCATACTCAGAGGGTTTTGGATTACCTCTCCCATCAGCTAAAGGGAGGAAGGATGGGATTTGTAGTCTGGCTCACGTGGGGAAAGCTCCCGGCTGGAAGAGGGGAGAAAGGAAAGGCAGCGGGGAGGAAAGGAAGGAGACTGGAAACACGCTGATAAAGACAACATCGGAGGGATGAACGGAAGGGGACAGCAGAGCCAAACGTAACATAGAAATGAAGTGGGTAAACAAAGCGTCAGATCTGCGCGAGGAAAGGGAGCATCAGTTACAAAGCCCCCACTTTAAAAAAAAAAAGAGGAAACCGCATTCCATGACAAACTAGCCAGACCTCATTCCAAGCGCAGCTGGGTTTCCCCCCCGCTTCACCCTAAGGATGTCAAGTGGTGTCTGGGCTGCTCTGGCCGAAGATGCACCATCCTTGCGCAAGCGCATGAGTGCTCAAGTCTGAGCGACGGGGCCGTTCACCATGGAACGGCTTCCCCATCCTGGCCAATCTCCTACAGATGGAAAGCTGGCCAACCCAAGGGTGGGAGGAAAAGGCGGCTCCGAGACAAACCCGTTTTGAGAAGCTAGCTTTCTCGGTGCAAGGGGCGATGGAACGGGATCCTCACACAACATCTGCACCAGCAGTCTAAAGCGGTGCAGCCTCCCCAAACGGGAAAAGTTACAGCTTCATGTACCGGTTCCATGTTGGTTAGTGACCGGAGACTTGGCAAAGCTAGAGACGGGAATCTCAAGCTGTGGATTTTATTGTGGGAGGTGAAAGGTATTACCACTGGCGGGAGAGCTCAGTGGTTTAGATTTCTGCCGGTGGAGCCAGAGATTGGGGGTTTGATTCCCCCCACAGATGCTCCCGGGAGAAAAACCAGCCTGGGTCGCCTTGGGCCAGCTGCCCAGTGGTCCCAGGGCACCCCCCCCCCAGAAGAAGCAAATGGCAAAGACACTTCTGAATATTCTTTGCCTAGGGGCTGTCGTGTCAAAAGTGACTTGAAGGCACATTTTAAAAAGGAAATTTGCAAGCCTGTTCCTCAAATTCAGCTGCGAAATGCTGAAGGACGACCGACCGTGGGCTGGCAATCCGAGTCCTTCCTTCCTCCTTCCATGGACTTTTCCTCTCTTGCATCTACTCCCTGCCTGCTTTTCACATCTGCCTTCTCTGCCAATGAATTTACGGGAAGGAATGCCCATCTCCAATGTTTTTGCTCTCCCCCCCCCCGTGCTGGCCGAAAGCATACAAATCCATGCTCTCTTGCTCTCTCACACACACACACACACAAACACACACACGTGTGTGTGTGTGTCTCCTTGGTTTGCAGCCAAACATTCCAACTTGGGAAGGGGGCAGGAGCAGAAACGTGGTCAATTCAGACCCAAAAGAGTTTCTTGGACGCAGGAAGGTGGAATCGCATCGCTTACAAGAAAACAGTTTAACAAACATCTTTTAAAAAAAAACAATCAGCAAAAAGAGAGCAGAGGGGGACTCTCTCTCTCTCTCTCTCTCTCTTTTGTTTTTCCAAGCCTCCAGCATTGCGTTAACCTCCTCTTAACAAAAGCAAGAAGAGCCGTTTGTAATGTCCAGCTTCAACTCTTGGGCTTCTAAGTTTGCTAACCTTTAGGACGAGAGTTCCCAACATCTGCAATATTCTGCCGAAAGACAAGAACGTAGTGGTACCTAGTTACGAAACCAAGAGGTCTGTTGTTGTTGTTGTTCTTATGTGCCATCACATACAGCCACTGTAATAGGGCTTTTCAGATACCCCTGGAGTGCCCGAAATATGAACGAGTGAGTCCTAGATTAAATTAAGCCAGAACTATGACAGGAAGCAAAAACGTTGAAGCAGAAGCTGTCCTGCTTTGGGCACATCACAAAAAAAGCACGATTCCCTGGAGAAGGCCAGCATGCTGGGAAAAGTTGGCAGCAGGAAAAGAGGAAAGCCAAACACGAGAGGGGCCGACTCCTTAAGGAAGCCCCAGGACTTGATTCTGCAGGAGCTGAGCGGGGCCATTTCGGACAGGGAGCGCTCGTCCATCGCTCACAATTAGAGATGGACACAAAGCGCGGGTTCGGCGCTTCACGTTGGCTCATCGAGAGGCGGATGCTCGGAGCCCTACAGGCGATGCGAAAATGCAGTTCCAGTCCACCGTAAGAGTCACTGGGGTAAATGTGTGACAGGCGCCTGCACGCAGGCTTGCTCATCTTCTAGGGAGACCCCAGGTTTCAGGGCTGCGTAGTCCCAACCCAAACGTCCACCGGTAGGTACTCCGCGCAGGACTTTGCCCCCGATTACTGGTATAGTAGTACTTTGATTCCCATTTAGCTACCGTGCACTCGCCTTCCAAAATACTGGGCAGTGTAGAGTGATGAATTTGTTCCCGTGCTGTCCTGGAACAGAGGATGCCAAGGCTCCCACCAAACTACATAGCCCAAGGCTCCCTAAGAGAGCCACGGCAGATAAAGGTGGTATTAAGCAGGAATAACTATGCAGGCTTCATTGAGGTGGGAGGGGGAGAATATAGACAACGAGGTCCCAGGGAAAGATATATCGTGTTTCCTCCCAAAGAAGGGAGGAACCCGTTTGTCTGTCTGTCTGTCCATCCGCAAGGGGAGAAGCAGACCCCACCTTTGTGTATGAGGCACAGGACGGGAGGGGAAGAGCGGTTCTCCGTTGGCTTTGGCCCCAACGCATTTGGAAGGTGGAAGGCTCTGGAGGGGGGAAACGTATCCAAGAGAAAGCTAAGCCCACGGCCCAGAACGTTAAAGCTGGGAAACGGTTGCGCCGGCTGCAGTAAACAAGCCCCTTCCCTCGGCCGATTTACAAAGCTGAGCCGGATCGATCGCAACCACCAGCCCCTCACCTCGCCCCCGAGAGCTTCCGCTCCTTCTCCCCGGGCCCCCTTCTCCCCGCCATTCACGATGCAAATGGTATCGATCCGGGAGATCTAAGCATAGCTTTCTTCCTGGCACCGCTGGCTCATCTCCTGTCAATTTCCGCCCCTCGGCCAGAAAAGGAGGCCGCACGGAGCCAAGAGGCAGAGGAGGGAGCAAACCGAGGCTTGCAGGAGAAAGGGGAGATGGGTTGTTCATTTTTCCAACCCACGTTCGCTCCTTTGTTTCCTCTCTCTCTCTTTCTCGGGGGTGCGCGCTCTCGCTCGCTCTCTTCGTAACAGAACCGCGTTGGTGCTTTGAGGTAAGAATTGGTGCAAAAAGGAAAATTCGGTGCAAAACAAAAAAAAAGGCTAACAGCCAAGCTGGTGGCTCAGAAGGAAGCAAGCAAAGTTGACCAAAGAGTCTTGGGTCCAGTGGCTCCCAAGCTTCAGAGCCCAGATGTTCTTGGACTGCAATGCCCAGAGAGCTAGTGGCTCAGAAGGAAGCAAGCAATGTTGACCAAAGAGTCTTGGGCCAGTGTTCTTGGACTGCAGTGCCCAGAAATCCTGGCCAGCACCAGGAGTGGTGAAGGCTTCTGGGAGTTGTAGTCCATCAAGAGTGGTGAAGGCTTCTGGGAGCTGTAGTCCAAAAACATCTGGAGACCTACGGTTGGGAGCCACTGCCCCTAGTCAATCTTTTCTCCTGCCCTTCGGTGACTTTCCCTGAGTTGCTTTACTGTCCCAGCTGTCCTTGCCAACCTCAAGGAAGACCAGCTGCTGAAAGGGAAAAAAGAAAGCAAGAAAGAAGACGCTGGAGGGGGAAAAAAAACTCTCCCCGGTAGCTTTCCCTGCCTACGAATATAAAAGCCAAATGGGCTCGGTCAGATCAGCCCATTGTCAGAGCGAGTAAGGAAGGCGACGTGATTTATTTGTTGTTATTGATTTCCCACTTCTTCAGTGAGCACAAACGTGGCATGCTTAGCTTCACAACAGCTGTGAGGAGGCTCAGCTTGGGAGAAAACACGTGGCCCAAGATTTGAACGCAGGGCTCCCAAGTCTTAGTTGAAGAGTTGAACCATACTAGCCAATGCCAACAGACATGATACACAGAGCCACAATGCCTTATGATACCAGAAACTACCTACCTACCTACCTACCTACCCACAAACGTGGCATGCTTAGCTTCACAACAGCTGTGAGGAGGCTCAGCTTGGGAGAAAACACGTGGCCCAAGATTTGAACGCAGGGCTCCCAAGTCTTAGTTGAAGAGTTGAACCATACTAGCCAATGCCAACAGACATGATACACAGAGCCACAATGCCTTATGATACCAGAAACTACCTACCTACCTACCTACCTACCTAACCTACCACCTTCAGTGAGCACAAACGTGGCACGCTTAGCCTCACAACAGCTGTGAGGTTGCTCAGCTTGGGAGAAAGCACATGGCCCAAGATTTGAACTCAGGGCTCCCAAGTCTTTGTTGAAGAGTTGAACCACATTAGGTAATGCCAATAGATGTGATACACAATGCCTTATGATACCAGAAACTAACTAACTAACTAACTTACTATCCTGCCTAACCACCATGGATGACCCGCGAACCTCCACGAATGTATCTAATGACAGGAAGCTATTCCTACATCTTGTAGCAGGGAGTTCCACGGCGTCTTCTTTGTAGGCTTTCAATCACCTGCAGACATTTCTGGCCAAGGTCTGGAGCACCAAACCAAAATTGCGGGAAGCTCTCATTTGCCCATCTTCACAGCTCAACCACCTTCCACGATTGGAGGAAAAACACAAGAAGATCTCAAGGCACACAAACACACACTCTGTTTAATCAAGGGCTGGCAACAGAACACTCTGTCCCTTCCCTGTCCTGGGTCAGGGTGCAGATTAAAAAGTATGTAAGCGGTAGTGGTTACAGGGTAGGGCTGGGACTTGGGAACTCAGAGATCTGGGTTCAAGTTTCCCTCACCGGATGCCTTTTTGGCCGCGTTGCACTCTGCTGACTTGACCTACCTCGCAGGTTTGCTGTGAGAAAAAATTGGGAAGAGGCGATCCCAGTTTTGAGTTGCTTGGATGAGAAGGAGGATGCAGACGGGACAGAGAGAGGGAGAGACAGATGGGTAATTCTACCATGCTGGCCGTTCCTGGCAGAAATCATCCCATTGTGCATTTCTTTTGGAGTATAATACGAATCATGCGCTGTCAAGGGCTGACATAGGGTGACCGTTTTTAGGGTTTTCCAGCGAAAGAGTACTCCAAGGAGTATTACCATTTCCTTCCACTAGGGGCGCCCTGGGACTGTGCAGCTGGCCCAAGGCCCCCCAGGCTGGCTCCTCTCTGCGCGTGCACAGTGGGGGGGACCGAACTCCCAACCTCTGGCTCGGCAAATTGAGATCCCTAAACGAATGAGCAATCCAACCAACTGTCCTGGAGTTAACTGCCCCCCACCGAGGATTAATTCTGTACCCAATTCACAACTCACTAAACGCTAGGAGACACCCAATCCAATAAATTACCTCCTGCGCACGAATTTTTGCATCTTTTTCACTTTCTGTGCATGCGTCATTCTTTGCTGGAGGACGGGTTTTTCTCCCCCCACCCACCCATACATACCACCCCCCAAGGCTTGGAAGTCCCTATAATTGCTTGTGCAGCATTCAATTGGGTTTAGATCCTCATCTGCTTTTAGTATAAGTCCTGGACGGGTTCAGTCCAAATGGAATTGAGCAAACATTATCCTTTCCTGGCGGGACCGGGACGGGCTTCGAAGACAGCCAAATGTATTAGGAGCATGGCTCCTACCAATTAATAAAAAAATCTGTCTTCCAGCCATCTATTGCGTTGGCCTTTTCTTGGTCTTCTCTCCCTGCCGGCCTCGTCTTTCCGCCCCCTTTCCGTTTTTTGCTTTTTTATCCCCCCCTCCTCGGTTTTCCCATCCACCCGACCCAGGACTCGCCTTACCTTCTGCTCCCCGGGGACTCCAGTGCCCGGATGGGTCGCACGGCATGGGAGAGGAGGCGCTGAAGGCGTACTGGACCAGGATCCGGCCTTCCGTGCAGAAATCGCACGCCGATCCCACTTCTCTAGGAGGCAGGAAACAACAACAACAAGGGAAGGAAATGCACCAACTTAGTAACGGTTGAACAAGGGGCTCCTTTCGGAGGAATACAACGCAGTGAGCTGGCAGGCTAAGGTCCCTGACCACCCCAACCATTGCTGGGAGGTGAAAAGGCAATGCAATTTGCCCTTTGACCTTCTACAGGTTTCTAGCTGATTGCCTGCAAAAATTCAGCACCTGTATGGCGAACGCTGGGAGAGGATATTAACTCATATGTGTACAGCTGATCTCAATCTCTCTCTCTTGCTGTCTCTCTCTCACACACAGAATGATTTAACAATCAAGTATTTGTACATTAATCCCTTTTCACTTCTGTGATGTATAATCAGCATCAACATTACAGTGGTGCCTTGCTTTACGATTGCCCCGCATTACGACAAATCTGCTTTATGACCATCTTTTGCGATCGCAATTTTCCTGGAATGGATTATCGTCGTTAAGCGAGGCACCACTGTACATACTATCAAGTTAATTCTGACTTATGGCAACCCTTTTTGGGATCTTCCAAGGAGGGAATACTCAGAAGTGGTTTCCCCTTCAACTTCGTCTGACGGTAGCCCTGGGACCACCGCGCAGTTGGCCCAAGGCCACCCAAGCTGACTCTTTTTATCAGGAGGGCCCCGTGGGGGAATCGAATTCCCAACCTCTGGTTCTGCAGCCAGAGACCAAAACCCCCAAGCTCTCCAGCTAGTGTTGTAATATATTGACCCTTATATTTCCCTTGCAAGCTTGCCCAGTTCTTTTCCCCCCCCTCTTACATCAAAGATAGGCAAGCTGGTGTCTTCCAGATTTTTGCACTACACTTCCCATACTCCTTAACCATTGGCTGTTCAGACCAGGGCTCATGAGAGTTATAGTTTTCCGAATCAAGAGGGGTACTAGATTAACTCTCTCCTGCAGAATACGTGCAGATTGACTACTGCTTTTACTTGATTTACTGTCATAGTGTTTTAGCCAACTGTAAACCACCCAGACTAGAAGGAAGGAAGGAAGGAAAAAAGGAAAGGCTGCTTTTACTTGAATTACTGTCATAGTGTTATAGCCGACTGTAAACCACCTAGACTAGAAGGAAGGAAGGAAGGAAGGAAGGAAGGAAGGATCTATTTCCTCTGTGGGTTGATGGGTGGATGGTGAATTTCACCTAAAGAAAAGAACAGAGCCATAGGTACTCATGTCCACTTGATTCTAGGAGGCAAAAGAAAACACAATCACACCCAGAGTGCTTATTTTTGTGTAAGCTACACATTGGGGAAGGGGTATGGGGGGGAGGGAATCCTTCATAAGGAAGTTTCTGAAATATGGAAAAACATCCAGAACCCTAGGAGCATCTAATTCAAACAATTTATTTTGTTTGTTTGTTTATTTAAAATGTCCCTCCCTGAAAGGACCCAAGGCGAACTTAGACACACACAAAGAAAACATATAACACAACTATGTTCACTTATGCGCAGTCTGTTACAAAGAATGCCACCTCTCAGCCACAAGCGTATGCGGGGACAGAACCCACATTTGGAACTCCATTGCTGCTAAAAATCGCAAGCAAAAAAACCTGAAACTCATTTACCTGCATAAATCAAACCGATGCTGTGCTCCTACACACAGAGAAAGAGAGAGACCACCTTCATCTCCCACTGGAAAAAGGGAAAGATCCCAAGGGCCCTGTCATGTGACTTTCCAACCACAGGTGTGGATGGTTTCCATCTAGGGCTCAGGTGAAAAATCCAGACCTCTCAAAGTACCTGGACTCACCAGGGAGTGTCATCAATAAGGTGAAATAAACAACGCAGAAGGTTGTAATGGCAGAAGATGGTACGGGAAGCCTTTGATGGCATCTCAAGGTCCTGTCATGTCCTCCACGTTTCTGAATCCCTGCATGTAATCACCTTGTGCGAAATTAGGAGGAAGCAACGGTCGGTGATTTTCAGGGAGATGATGGAAATAATGGACATTGATGTATGTACACATGTCCCCAAGGATGGAATATGGTTAACAATAACCAATTAAAGAGAGAGGGGAATGAATGAATTTGGGACCGTAGCAAGGCTGATGCTTGCAAAGAACTGGGGGAAAATAATTACCAGTTTACTACGGTAATTGGTTTAAGGAAATGGGGAAGAAGGATGAAGGAATGGCCAATGGTTTTCAAGGAGAAAAGAGAAATAATGGGTGTTGGTGGTCAAATATTTCCCAGCACTGGTTTGTTGAATCTGGTTGATCACAACCCATTGAAGAGGGAAGAAAATGAATTTGTTATTATGATGGTGGGTTAATAATTGCAAAAACACACACACACAAAGAAAACTGGAAAAGTAATAAACTAGTAGGGAGGAATGGTATAGAGAAATGTGGAATATGACCGTCAATGATGGGTTAACTTGTGAAATTAACCTTAGAAGAGGAATAATGAAATGTAATGATTTTCAACCAATATGAAACTTGCTATTGGTAGATGGGTTCGAGAAAGGGAAGGGATATAATCGGTGTATTACTGGAGTGAAATAGGGTGCTCTGAGATATAAGAACGAAGAATATACACCTAGTCTGGTAGAGGGGAAGGGGCTGTACAGGGCAAAAAAGAGGGGCCATATGAGGAGGGGATATGTATTGCAGTGTTTTATGAAATGGCACATTTTGTATATATATATATTTTCTTTTCTGTTTAATAAATTTATAAAATTAATCTTTTTTTAAAAAAAAAAAAGTGAAACTAAGATTAGAAAAAAAAGAATATTGAAATGGAATGGTTTTTAAGACATATTGGAACTTAGTTTGGGTCTAGGTGCTTCAGAAAAGGAAAAGGTATACACCCAGAGAAGGATCGATGTATTTTTTTTGAGAAAGAAAGAAAAGGGGTGGTAGTAGAAATATCATGAAAAATAACCTTAAAACTAGTCCAGGGTGCAGGTAAGGGGGTGGGGAAATAGCACAAGCTTGAGAATTGCAAATTTGTTTATTTTAAGTTGATTTATTGGTAATGTTTTTGCATACTCATGGTGGTTTACATTTGTAAATAAATGAATGAATGAATGAATGAATGAATGAATTTTTATTTTAAAAAGAAATCATCCTAAATTCCAGGATGACAAGCTCACGAAATGCAGATGCATAATATTGTTCAACCTCTTGTTTCCACCCGTTCTTCAAAAGGAAGCGGACAAAAGCACCCTGTACTCATCAGCACCACCTCCAGTCATACTGGCCAAGGTGTTCTGCCCTTACAAATACAGTCGTGCCCCGCTGGACGATTACCCCGCTCTACGACGAATCCGCTTTACGTTGATGTTTTTGCGATTGCAAAAGCGATTGCAAAACAATGTTTTAAATGGGTTTTTTTCACTGCGTGATGATCAGTTCCCTGCTTTGGGAACTGATTTTCGCTTTACAACGGGTTTCAAAATGGCCACCGGCTGAAGAAAATGGCCTCCGCTGTTTTCTAAGACAGATTCCTCGCTTTACAGGCACTGAAAATGGCCGCCATATGGAGGATCTTCACTGGACGAGCAGATATTCAGCCCACTGGAACGCATCGAATGGTTTTCAATGCATTTCAATTGTTTTTTTTAATTTCGTTTGACGACGATTTCGCTCTACAGCGATTTCGCTGGAACGAATTAACGTCGTCAAGCGAGGCACCACTGTAAAAGCAAATTGCCCTATCTTTACTGCAGGGGGTCCCAACCTTGAGTCCCCAGAGGTTCTTGGATTTCAACTCCCAGAAGCCTTCCCGACTAGCTGGGCTGGCCAGGATTTCTGGGAGCTGCAGTTCAAGAACATCTGGGGGACCCCAGGTAGGGAAGCACTGATGTTGGGAAGTAAGTTTGGGGGGCAGTTTGCATTTGACACCATCTACAGTTCCAGCGCCTCCTCCAGCCATGGAATCGGTTGCATCAGTTGCCTCTTCTGAGTTTAGCCTACCTCGCAGGGGGCTTGTGAGGCTAAAGCAGGGAAGAGGAGAGGCTTCTACGCTGTCAGGAGCTCAAAGGAAAGTCCGGGAAGCAACGCGGCTGCATCCGAAGGTTGAGTCTCGTCTAGAATAAAACCGTTGAATGAGCAGGATGTGTTAAATCAACACTTACACAAATCCCACTGATTTGCTGGATGGATCCTACTTTTGTTGGACGTCGCAACGGCGAAGACCTGGAACGCGAGCCAGCCGTGTTCCGTAGGCAATGCAAACTTCTGATTGCTCTTCAAGCCTATTTCCACTCCTGGTTGCAAATTCTTCTCTACGGCTCCTCCGCCACATTTTTTGTTTTCAAAAGAACGGTTATATAATTTGGGTCTATCTGATCCCAGTCCCAAATACGGAAGGTGTTTCTCTCCCCCCTCCCTTCTTCTTCTTCTCAAGTGTAAAAAAATTGCTAAATCGCAGCCATCTGGACATACCATGAAAGCACTACAAAACAAGCTTTTGTTCCGCCATGCAAAGAGTCGGAGGGAAAATGCGCCTTCACAATGTATGCTTTGTACTTGCTCAAGGAAACCGTCTTCCACAAAACCACGGAGGCTCCTTGAAGCTCAGCTTCCAAAGACGCGGGAAACACATCTCTTGACGGTTCAGAAAAACCAAGATCCTTTCCATGCCTCCGACGGTGATGGAAGTTTCGCCGGGGAAATTAAACCCAGTCCTCTGGCCGAAAGGCACGTGGATGGAGGTCTCTCCCAAACCTCCTCCCTAAATTGGGGGAAAAGCTACACCCCATAAATCACCGACGGAAAGGAATTCAAGAGATCGCGATTGGCCGAACCACGGAAATGAGTACCTCCGCGTGGGATGGAGAGCACGGTTGTTGGAATGGATCCAGACCTTTCTAATCCAAATGGATAAGGCCTATGCCAACACTTAAAAATCAATGGTTGGGGATAACAAAATTTGGGGAGAAAATGCTTTGATACAGTTTGGAAATGAATATCTCTCTCTCTCTCTCTCTCTCTCTCTCTCTATCTCTCTCTCTGTGTGTGTGTGTGTGTTTGTGTGTCTGCTTCCACTCTGTTCTCTTGTTTGTTTGTTTGTTTGTTTGTTTAACTTGTACACCACACTGATTAGTGGTAAACACAACTCTGGGCAGTTTACATCCAGAGAGAAGCAACATCAAATCAAATAAATCTGAATATAATAAGAAACAAACACCACGTGTAATCAATGAAGCAACCATTAAAAAAAAATCAATGGAAAACTGAACAATAGCAAACGGGCAATGTGAAATCATCAATCCAAGCTACGTTAAGAGGAGATGCTCTTAAAAGATTCAGTAAACAGCCTTGTTTTGAGCATCCTCTCGAAGGTTGTGAGGGAGGAGGCCGGCCATAGCTCCACAGTAGCTCCATTCCATATGAAATGAGGAAAACGCCCATGACGACAAGTGTTTGTGTGTGTGTGGGGGGAGGAAAGTAGTAATGTAACTACCTCCTTCTCTCCTTCATTCACAATGACAAGAAACATATAGCTTTTTCTTATCACTTGCCAGCTGGCAAGATTTTTTTTTCCCCCTGCTTGTTCTCTGTGAGTTTTAACATTTCGAAGAATCATTTTTGCACAATTGGCAAGCTCAGGATTCTGCACAAAACGTGATAACTGCTGCCTTGTTGCATGGATTGTTTAGGAAACACAAGCACCGGATGGGTTGCTTCAGTCTTTGTATCCATTAGCCAGATCTTTCATGTTTGTGTGTGTGTGTCCACATTCTGGGCACAGAAACACTTTTGAGCAAAATCTGGGAAGATGCGGGAGTTGCCGAGTTCTTTACAAGGTGTCTCAATCTTTTGAGACGGCCTTTCTCATCAAGAACGAAGCATCTTACTCCAATTCTTCAGATCCTTAACATGGAAGCTTGGGGATCGTTGCTGCAAGAAGGCAGAGAAATGTGCAAAAAAATTGCCTCACAAAAAGCTCTCAAAGACCAACAATTTTTTTTTAGCTGCAATGAGAAAAATTCTCCCCTTCTTCTCATTTACAGTATGAGTTTCAAACATAGCAAGATTTACCTTTCTAACCATTTCGACAGCAGCCGCACACTGAGTCTCAGTTACACGCCTTCGTGACCCAGCCTCATAAACGGTATTAGTCATTATCTTAGACCGGCGATAAACTCACAGAAACTGACAACAGATCAGATTGTGAAGTCAAAATATGAATTTCAGCTATTCTTCCCACTGGCCCTCCAAAAAGTCACGCCACGATTTATTTATTCAAGGCCTGAGAAACTGAGAAAAGCATGACGTAAGTTCTGGACAATGTCTTCTTAGATATCCCCAAATCATGCCGACTCGACGTAGTCGAAACCCCAATGGTAGGCTTTTGGAGTGTTGACTTAGGGTATGATAACTCTGTTATGAAATCTTAGATAGAACAGGCTGGCCATTGTGTGTCATTTAAGCACCAACTCGCCCCAGATTATTAAAAACATACTGATTGAAGTCGAAGAGGTATGTCAGAGAGAGGCGTTCTGTTACATAACAATTAACCTTGTATCAGTATGTTTTTAATAGGCAGATGGAATTTATTTAACGTACAATAACTGCTTTATGAAATATAAATTGGATACATATTGCGAGAACATAATTTACCCTTTTAGGAAAAGAAAGAACGAGAGAGAGAAATGGAAGATGGCGGAGAGGATGGTGATGTCGGTAAGGGCCGGTATAGACGTTCGGCCACACATTTGCGGGAAGAGTCCCAAGCGTTTTCTGAATCTTGGCTCTTGAGTTGACATGATGACTCGGGATTCAAGAGCATTCAACAGTTTGACATGAAGGGGGGGAAATCACACTTTTCTAAAGGCCTCGTTCAAATGATCTTGAGAGGCTCCAGAGTCCTCGGAGTTCTCCGCTATCATTGTTACTCACAAGCCCTTTCTCCCCTACCCATCAGATCCACCTCAGCACCTTCCTGCTTTTGAGAACCTCAAAAGGAAGGTCTAAGGTGGCCTTGCCCAGTCTGTCACCTTCTATCTACAGCTCCGTTCAAACATGCATCGATTTATCCTGGCGATGGGACTACACTGCCCATCATCCCACCTCACCTGCCCAGCCAGTCCTCGGAGAAGGTGGCCATGGCAGTCGAATATATCTGGAGTGCATCAGGCCAGGACTGCTGCCCCTTTTAAGACATCTGTACTGACATCTGTGGTGCTGGAGGAGGCTCTTGAGAGTCCCCTGGACTGCAAGGAGATCAAACCTATCCATTCTGAAGGAAATCAACCCTGAGTGCTCCCTGGAAGGACAGATGCTGAAGCTGAGGCTCCAATACTTTGGCCATCTCATGGGAAGAGAAGACTCCCCGGAAAAGGCCTTGATGTTGGGAAAGTGTGAAGGCAAGAGGAGAAGGGGACGACAGAGGAGGAGATGGCTGGACAGTGTCATCAAAGCAACCAACATGAATTTGACCCAACTTTGGGAGGCAGTGGAAGACGGGAGGGCCTGGCGTGCTCTGGTCCACGGGGTCATGAAGTCGCACACGACTTAACGACTAAACAAGAACAACTGATATCTGATCAGTTCAAGGCAAAGCCAAACCCAAGGCCCTACCCATTCACCTTTCAAAAAAGTGCCTGTCAATAGGGGGGAACCACTCCAAGGCGACCGAGGTGCTCGTCCAGTCCACCGTCTGCGGGGTGATCGCGATGGGGGCTGGCTTCTTGGCAGGCTGCCAGCTCTGGTACACCAGGTCTAGGTAGCAATGCATCCTGGCTACCTGGTTCGGTGTGAAGGAGTTGGTGCAGTCGTCATCTGGAGGGGACAGGCAGGGGTCAAAAAAAATCAAAGGGGTCCCCCAAAAAAGAATTGGGGGAGAGGAAGAGGAGGAGAGAAAGGGGAGAGAGAAAGAGTCGTGACACGGAGAACGTGGACCACTCCACCATACCATTCCCAACACCTTGACCTCGTCTGATTATGGACAGTGGTTCCCAACTTTTGCTCCCCAGATGTTCTTGGACTGCAACTCCCAGAAATCCTGGCCAGCCTAGTTGGTGGTGAAGGCTTCTGGGAGTTTTAGTCCAAAAACATCTGGGGACCCAAGGTTGGGAACCACCGTTATAGAATCTAAACAGGGCTCAGATAGGACTTGGATAGGAGACCAGAAAGGAAGGCCGGGGATCCCAAGCTAGGGCCAGGAAAGAATCCTGCCTGAAAAACGTTACAGCTTCCGACATTCCTAAATTTCGTTACTTTTCTTCCTAAATTGCATAGCTATTCAGAAACCACATTAAGCATCTCCCACAGCCCAGAACTAACAGCCACTAGGAGCTGTTGGGAAATCACCCGTTGACCTCTTCCATGGAAGCCCCACCGCATGGTTTCACCCCGCCAAGAAGTGAGGCGGGCAAGTCCATGAGACAGGACTTCAGTTTCAGAACATGTTCCCAAGGACGGTCACGCTGGCTCCGTTCCAGATGACCTTCTTAACCTGTGTGGCTCTAAACCTAGTTGACCGGTTCAAGTAGTAAACTGCCCCAAAGAGAACAGGGAAATGCCGAATACCTGCATAGCTCATAAAGTTGTTGAACGGAGTGTTCTGGAAGCTTCGGAAGCCACACATGTCATTGCCCGGGGCTGGATCGCTGCAGACTTTGTGTGTCGGTGTCGGGTTGGTGTCATGACAGAGGTCGCCCGTCTCAAAGGAAGGCTCGGTCTCCATGCACGGGTCGCTGCAGGAGAAGATCTCCGAAATTCCTTTGAAGACGTGGTAGAGTCCCAGGCTGTGGCCGATTTCGTGGATCATGGTGTGGGTGTGGCCGGCGATGCCGTAGAAGGAGGGATTCAACACAATTCCCCCTACAAGGAGACAGCAAAAGAGTTGGGTTGCTTTCAAAACTGAATGCAATTAAAGATGTCCAAGGCCACCACCATCATTTATGAAAGCTCATCCACAGCAGTGTTTCCCAACCTTGGGTCCCCAGATGTTCTTGGACTACAACTCCCAGAAATTCTAGCCACCCAGCTAGAGGTGAGGGATTCTGGGAATTTTAGTCCAAGAACGTTCAAGGACCCAAACTTGGGGACCACTGCTCAGGAGTGATGGAGACCTATTTCTCCTAACTAGGGAGGTGAAGAAAATTGATCTTGTTTGCACTCCGGATGCGTCGTCTTCACACTACAAATAGCTGATCCAGGATCCTTAAGCCATCAGGCCAACGC